TATATATATAAGCCTGTATTTAGTATCATGGTGGTGCTCACTGCCTTCGGCTACAAAAAAAGTGCTGTTTCTTCACTGGAAACCCCAACTATCCAGAATGTGCCAGAGGTTTTCCAGAGGTGCAAATGAAAGTAGTTGTGAATTGCCCGATGATTGTGACATGTATGGAGGGCTGTAAGACAGGCCTGTTTTACATGATAATGCAACAGCTTATTATCTTGCTGTGCGGAAATTGTTGCCTGCATTATGCTCAGCAATCTTCATTCCCTCCATTCTCATTACAACCCATTTGTCTATCCTGTATGCTGTTATTTACCGCTCAATTTCCCAAAAGCCATGCATTACACTGCACTGTAAAAAGAATTAGGGTGATTAAACTGAAAAACATGAGTTCAAAAGCTGCCTTAAAAATACAAGTTAACTCAACTGCTTTTCCTCAACTTAGGATGGCAACCTAGAAAAGTAGCCCAATTGATGATAATTTATTGTTTATACTTGATATTTTACGTTGAATTGACTTACTATAGAACATTATCTATTCTCAAAAAAATTGAGTACTTTTGTCAGTTAAACTTATAATTGTATTCTATTTTAACTTAAATATTTAAGTTACACCAGTAGTCTAACTAATGATTACTTGTTATTTGAACTTCATACTCTGAGTTAAAACAACTTGCAAAGTTACATTATAAATTCATAAAACTGTTTTCTCTTGTTAATGTAACATACTGTACAAGTATCTATACTTTCAACTCACATTTTAATGTTAAACTGACTATGTATATTCATGTAAATTGTCTTTTTTGAGTTAATTTAACTTAAGATTTTAAGACAGCTTTTGAACTTAAAACTGCAATTTAAGTAAACAAACATTTCCAAATGTTGTTCTCTTTTTCCACTGATGAAACGAAGTTCACCATTTTCCTAAAAAGAATTACACCAAACYCACTTCCAGTTCAAATGTCAAAACATTTATTTTAAACTTTCTCCATCAAATAGATGAGACAAGCCTCAAATATAAAAGAACATTTGTCCAAGACAAGCAAATATGTTGAAATGTATTGGAGGACCGAAACTGACAATTAAAATTAAAAAATATATATATTTAGAAAAAAGCACCAATAAATAAACACTTAAAATGCATCAATTAATTTTAAAAATCATTTACCTAATGTTTTATAATTTAATTGGTCTTCTATAATGACCATATTTATCATTCCACCTAAGTTCTAACAAATTATACATTTTAAGGTCCTGGGGTCGGATTTATAAAACTGGCGTACGCACAATTTGAGCCCAGAAACTTGCGTACGCCACTTTTCACTCCACGGTTGTGATTTATAAAATCCAAACTTGACCTGAAAATGTACGGTGCCTCACGCCAGCTTTGACCCATGCGTACGCTCATTTTGGAGGCGTGAAACTGTGACACAGATGGTGAAGTAAGGAATTAGAGCCACACTGTGTAATGATCACTGTCAGATATTTAATTTACCTTCATCAGACTTAGATTTTTATTCAACTTTATCATCAGCTTTCTTAACAGTAATATTTATACTTCTGCTGCTGAGCCATGAGGACCTTTGAAATAAAAAATAAAAAAAACTTAAATCTTAAATAAAAGTTCCCGTGCGCAACTCCATTCATCTGCTTCCTCCTCAGACGACCCTGAACCACAGACCCACAGACCCCTCCCCGACAAGAACAGCAGGACAGCAAAAGTCACGCTTTGGATACACGCGCAGGGCGCATCCACCTCACCAGTGTGAATGTTAAACCTTCACGTTTAAAGTCCGTGTTTGTCACACGCGCGGGTGTGTGTGTGTGTGTGTGTGTGTGTGTGTGTGTGTGTGCGCAGTGAACTTATTTCTAATTTTATCTGACTTATTTAATTTTATTTTTATTGTTTTTATC